CGTTGGCTGCCCTTTTTTTTCAGAGGGCGGGTCGCTTTTGCCTAGACGTGAGAGTGGACAGTATTGCGTTTCCTCTGAGGATCGACTTGTCGATTTAGAACTCAACTCTCGTGTGGTCTCACCGAGTCACACATTTGTCGCAGCTAACCTCCATATCTGGAGGTCGTTCCCCTATTCGTAATCCGGGCAAGCGCCAGATGGTCAGATCAATGTTAGTACCATATGCTAATATTGTTTATATGTTGCTGTTGTACATTCTGTACATAAATGCGTATTGGCATTCATATATCCAGTACTGTGCCTATATATATTCTTGATATTAATTAGCAGCGTTAAAGACTTTGAAGTGTTCATGTTTTTGTTCCTCTAGGCACCGTTTCATGCTCACGTGTCAAAGGCAGCCGCGGAAACTTTACAACGAAAGATGAACAGAGTACATCTTCAAGAGGTAGCATTTGAATGTAGGTTTTAATGTTTTTTCAACGTTTCTGATGCATTCTCGATCAGGTTTTGGAGAGCATTTCCATCAAGGAAGTAGTGAATATATCTGAGTAAGTGTGTTTGTGATCAGTGGCAGGGTCATATACTGTGTTGAACTTGTTAAGGTCAGCGTACCGTGAATATACGATTCTGATAACCGTTCTGAAGCGCAAAGAAAGGCAGCTATCGACCCGTCATATTCCCTGTGAAGCTGTTCTTCGGCAAATGGAACGCGCGTTGTTCAAACGAATCGCGGCTCATGCACGAAGATTATGCAAAGCTGCGTATAATATTGGGTAGGTCAACCATAATATGATTTTAATGTTGATTCAGTACTGATTATGTTATTGGTGAAGAAGTACACCTACAGTTAGATAAAAATGTTGTACTCCCATCAATAGAAATTGGAAGCAAATGAGCGGGTGTTTACGTCAGTAAATCCGGCATCAGCAATTGAAATGTTATGACTAAACTGAACTGCTACAATATGGCAGTACCCAAGAATATCAGGGATACTGTATGTATTTACAATGTTTGTTGCCTAACTTGGTTTCTTAAGTATATATGAAGAAAATACTGATATGTTAAATTATGGTCCACGTTCCTAAAGTTGTTATTCCTAAAGAATTATCTAACTAAATATTGTATTTTGTTCCGATTGTGTGCATCATTATTTATTCAACGCGGTCTAAGCCATAGGCGGTTTCATCCCGTTACTGATTTGATTTTGTCATGCTGAATTACATTCCGGCATGCAAGATTCGGCGTCTGTTTTTAGCGATATATTAAGATATGGCATATTCTTTTAATCGTAATAGTAACTGTTCATTTTTCTTAATACATTCATCGTTTAACGTCGGTCCGATAACTGTGCTGAGGTAGAATCAGATACCGTCAAACGTGTCCACGGGTTGCGGATAGTGGGACAACCCTCACACATGTAGGTTAACTATGACATAATCGAACCATATAAATAAATAGTCGTGCACAGTGGGATGACAGTTTTGCATGGGTGCGACGAGCGGACTACCATCACCGTTCGCTCTAAAAAATACCTAAATGTCGGTTGACAGCGCAAGTACATGCTGTGGTCAATTAAGCATGTTGGCGACCCAAGTGAGCCGCCGTCACCGGTTTCAACTCTGACTAAGAGAAACTATTAGTTGATGTCAGGCACTCAACCGGCTGTCAAAAGCTGTCAAAACTGAATATTTGTCAGCTTATCTCCAGAAAAAATATTAGGCGACATGCGGTTTCAAACTTCCGGGGTTCTGAGAAATGCACAACGGAATCAGTCCGTGTGACGACAGCAATTAGGAACAGAGACGTTGCGATGACGAAAACACAACCAAGGAAATGCGAATAACCACTTTTAAGTTAGAACATTGACGGATTATCAACTGTATGGCTGACGTTTATTGTACTCTCTCTTCAGGTAGGATTATGTAATAATGGAATACAGGACAAGAAGCGATGAGCTTCGGAAATGTCTAAATAAAAAGCATCATTTGTGTGCTTCAAAACTGTATTATAGAACGACAACGCAAACAGTTGAAGCTTGGCGATCATCAGAAGGAAGGGAAATAGGAGCGAGGAAAAAGTCTTCTTCCACACTCACTTAGACTGTTTCTTTTTTCATGTATGCAAAGTAGATGGCCTGTTGGCAGTAGTACCTTTTTTAAGTTGGGGTCGCTGAAGGCAGATGATGATGATCTTGGTAGTTGTTATCACGACTCGTTCATACTACTGTCTTCATTACGGGCGCATTTCTCAGTGATGATTAAGCATTCTGTATTTCTTTAGAAAGCAGGAGGAAAAACAGTCCATTGAAGAACTGGGAGCCGGAGCCGAAACATGGGACGAAGCGGTACATAAGTCAGGCGCAGAATCATCTGACGATGTAAGTGCTACTATTCATTTATATTAAGCAAAATTTGCATCGAGAATCACGGTTGGGCTCGTTCCAAAACATTCAGTCAGTCAGTCAGTTAGTCAGTCAGTCATTCCCTCAGTCAGTCGGTCAGTCGTTCTTGACCGTCATGGTTATGACTGCGTGTTTTTCAATATATGCCGTTATTTGATGACCTGTCGCATGGTCATACAGACTATGACAATACATTGCTCGTGGCCAGTGATGTTTCCATTGTCGATGCTGTTTATATTCTTTCACAAAACAAGAAGTACGGTTTCATTTATGCTACGGTATGCCTTGTTCTTATATACTTTCTCACTACCTCATGATTTTCCTAATGACTTAATGGATATACCGAATGGTAACAAGATATCCGAAATCGGTTTTGCCTCTTCTGCAGATTTACATGGCGCAGTCGCACGTTCCCTTGCTTCTTATAGTTAGAGAAACATTTCAGCACTGCGCTGCTCCGTGGTAATTACAACCTACCGTTCATAGGTTTAAGAGAACGCTCCTTTGTTGGGTCGAACAAAAACCTGTTCGAACATCGACAGTTTTGATTATATCCGTAGGCACGTACATTTCTTAATGGTTTTCTTGTGTATTAATTCATATTTACTCTTTAGAGTGTGACTAAAAAGTTTATTCTTCCATAGCCACCAAAAAACCTGTTCCCAATTCTTCTTTGTGTGTTGCTGTCAAAACGTAGTTCTCTTAAGCAAATTTGCTTTCAAGATTGAAATGGTATGTTAACAACTAAATATCACCAACATTTCAAAAATTAATGGCAAGTTCTCACTAATGTTGTGTGTATTCTCAATGTTTTATCTCTGCTTATGAATCTTTACCTTAGCTTATCCTGTGTCCCTACGATGTATGCGTCGAAATTGGCTTTTTGCAAGCTGTATTGCACATGTTGTTAACATTGTGTTAAGTATATTGCACTGTGTATTATCGTATAATGCAACATATGTATAAATTCAGCATGTCTTTTATATACTTGTGTGTTATACTCTACGTAATAACGTTCATAGGTTGTTGAATTTCATATTCGACTCAGTCGCATACCGTCTTTCAACCGGTAAATTTCAGGAGGAACTGAGTCCCGTCGATGCTGACGCTGCGGATGTTCAGCGGAAACAGCGACACAATGACGAAAACGATTATCTTGGCGAAGAGGAAGAAAAGGAAGAAATCGATATCGCAGGTTTTTACATCTTATTTATTCTTTTTAAGATGTCCTGTT